GGCGCCGAGCCGAAAGTGAATATTTTTAAAAGTTAAGTTTAAATCACTAAATATGGCTTGGCGCCTATGGCTCAAGCAGCTAAGGTACCAGCCACATACACCTGAGCTGGCGGGTTCGAATCCTGCCCAGGCCTCCAAACAACAATGACAGCTGCAACCTAAAAATAGCTGGGCGTTGTGTTGGGTGCCTATAGTCCCAGCTACTTGGGAGGCTGAGGCAGGAGAATCGCTTGAGCCCAGGAGTTGGAGGTTGCTGTGAGCTGATGCCACAGCACTCTACCCAGGGTGACAGCTTGAGGCTCTGTCTCAAAAAAAAATAATAAATCACTAAATACCATTTTGCAAGCACAGGTTCTCCTAACCTAGTGTGGTTAGAGCGGGGCGGGGGGGGGGGGGGGAAGTGCTGCAACACACAACAAAGCCATACAACCTGGGTTAGGAATGCAGATGTTACAGTAACTTCCTCTCCGAGCTTCAGTTTTCCCGTCTATAAATGGGTTGATAGGAATCCCAGTAGTTATCTAAGTTTTTTTTTTTTTATAACGCTAAATCTTCCACCTACGTAAGTATTCATTGCCAGTAGTGGGGCATAAGGATGACGCCCAAACATTACCCCAGTGTCCCAAAACTTTTCAGTTGCCGGCTGCGCGCGGTGAGCCACGCCTGTAATCCTAGCACTCTGGAGGCCAAGGCGGATGGATTGCCCGAGCTCAGGAGTTCCAGACCAAACCTGAGCAAGAGTAAGACCCCCGTCTCTAAAAATAGCCGGGCGTTGTGGCGGGCGCCTGTAGTCCCAGCTACTTGGGAGGCTGAGGCAACAGAATCACTTGAGCCCAAGAGTTTGAGGTTGATGTGAGCTATGACGCCACGGCACTCTACCAAGGGCGTCCAAGTGAGACTCTGTCTCAAAAAAATAAATAAAACTTTTAAGTTTCTGTTCCCGCTTTCGATCCCCACCCCTCACTGCACACACACTTTCGGAGCAATCTGGAGACCTTCCTGTTTTCCCGCCTTCCTTTCGCTCCTCAGACACGCCTCCCTTGGTCACGCCCCTGACCACCCTTTCGCTGGTGTACGTCATTCCTGGACCCGCCTCCTCATGATCCCTCCTCTTCAATCCGATCCTAAGCAGAGTTGCTGCCTAGTCCTTGCCCGCCCCACCCACAGTTCCTCAGGCCCCCTGAGGAGCGAGGACCCGCCTGGGGATGCCTCCAGCATTGCCTGAAGCGCGACTCCCCTTTCGTGGAGTGGATAGTTCGATCGAGTACCTCGCATGGAGCACATTTGCCAACAGAGGGGTGTCTCCATGGTTTCGGAGTCCCTAAGTGTTAGGCCGGAGGGATGGTTTCCTCTTTCTTGTATCAGGCGCGTAAAGGGCAGCCCGGGCGCGCGCCGCTATCGAGGAAGGCCCCCGGCAAAGGCCCCGGCTGTTTGTGTCGGTACTGAAGCCACTATTCCAGCCGATGGGTCGAGATACTCGCTCGCGCTCACGGTCTGCCGGTCTTAGGGGCCGAAGGCGACGGAGCCGCAGCAGAAGTCAAAGCCGGAGCCGAAGTCGGAGCCGGAGCTATGGGCGGCGAAACCGGCGGCGCCGGGAGGAAGAGCAACGGCGTAGACGGAGGCGGTGGAGCCGAGAGCGTAGGTGGGGTCTCTGCGGGGGCCGCTCTAGGGATCCGGCTCATGCCCTTTGGAAGTCCCAACTCAGAGGTGGAGAATTGGGGGAAATGGTAGGCCCCAGACTTAGGGAGGCCTTCCTGGAAACGGACGTCTGAGCATGGGTCAGAACTAAACAAGCAGCGAAAGGAAAGCGAGAGGCGGTCCCGGCAGGGCACCTGGTGGTTAGAGGAGACAGTAAGGAGCAGAGTGAGGGAGGCGGCGGGGAACAGATCATGTAGAGCTCTGCGTGTTGTGTTGAAGTGTGGTCGTTATTCAGCGGGAACTGGGAAACCGCAAGAGGATTTTGAGGAGAGTGACGTGGTTTGGCTTGCTTTTGCTTTTTGCGCGCCTTCTCTGGCTTTCAGGTGGAGGAAGAACTGAGGGGTAGGCAAGAGTGGCACTAGGGAGAAGGATGATAGAGATAAGAGATGGTGGCAGCCTTGATGAGAGGGAGGCTGTGGGGAAGCACAGTGGGAAAGTGGGTAGATTTGAGAGGAATTTTGGAAGTAGAGGTGATAGCACTTGCTAACCGAAGTGGAGTATGATAAGAAAGAGTCGATGACAGTAACAGGATTACAGTCTTATCCTCCCCACGGCATACAGTCTTTTTCTTCTGGAGGTAGAGCACCTAGTCAGACTTGCTTTGAGTCTCTCTGGCACAAAGAAACCTGCTCGGTGACAGGGACTGACTCCCAGACCCGAGTCCCCAGTTCTCACTCAGTCCCTGAGTGGCTAATGACACTCAGGACAGCCCTGCCCTGCTCTGGCCCAAGTTAACTCATTGGTGTTCTCAAGCTGTGCACAGGACTGCAGCCAGAGTCGCTATAGTAAAACACAGCGTCGTGCTCTCTAAGTTCCACAAGGTGGCTTTTCCTTTTGAGCCTGGTAAGATCATTGCAACCTCAGCAATGCCAGAAAGATTAACAGAAATGGAGTTAACAAAGGGATGGTTTAAACCAGGAATCAGCAAATTACAGGGTCCATGAATCAAGCATCATTTTTAGGCGCAGCGCCTGTAGCTCAGCTGCTAGGTTGCCAGCAACATACACAAGAGCTGGTTTGAACCCAGTCTGGGCCTGCCAAACAACAATGACAACTACAGTCAAAAAATGGCTGGGCATTGTGGTGGGGCCTGTAGTCCCAGCTACTTGGGAGGCTGAGGCAAGAGAATCGTTTAAGCCCAAGCGTTTGAGGTTGCAGTTCTGCACCCGTAGCACAGTGGTTATGGTGTCAGCCACATACCCCGAGGCTATCGGGTTCAAACCCAGTCCAGGCCAGTTAAAACAACAATGACAACTGCAACAAAAAAATAGCAGGGTGTTGTAGTGGACACCTGTAGTCCCAGCTACCTGGGAGCTGAGGCAAGAGAATCACTTAAGCCCAAGAGTTTGAGGTTGCTGTGAGCTGTGATGCCACGGCACTCTACTGAGGGCAACATAGTGAGATGCTGTCTCTCTGCCTCAAAAAAAAAAAAAAAACAGTTTTATGATGGTGTGTTCTTTGGCGCTTCTGATCGGAGACGCAGGGGAAAGAACTGCAGACGGAATGATAATTTAAGGGAGACTGGGACTCGCTCTGGTCGGCGGCTCGGCTAAACTTTACTGATTATCTTATATACTTTTTAACATTCAGTAAGAATTTAACACATATACAAAGAAGTGAAGTAACATTAGGAAGCTACCATTTAGGATTACAATTTAGTGTGAAGGTTGAAGAACACATATACAATTGATTTTGTTTAGAGTAAAAACATAAGGGAGACTGGCTGTCTGTTCCTTTTAGCCCAAATGGAACCTAGAGAGAGACTTTTCTGCATATTCCTGCATATTTATAGGCAAGTACAGAAGCTCGATCTTCAAAGAGATGTTTCTCAGAACCAATCTCCTGGAGGAGCACATTGAAGCGAACTGCCATGTCTGAGCAAGGGGAGCTTATCTCCTACAGTTTTACCCCTTGACAAGTTAAAAGTATGGAAAGGCAAAAATAATAAATAAAAAGAATCATTTTTACATTTTGTAATGAGGGTGGAGGAAGAGAAATCAAAAGAAAAGACATATTTCGTGACACATGAGATAGCCAGAAATGAAGTTTTATTGGAATCCAGCCATGCTTTTTTGTTTATGTACCACATACTGTCTACAGCTGCTTTTGTGATACACGAGCAGAGTTGAATGTTGTGTCTTAGACCTTATGGACTGCAAACCCTAAAGTATTTACTGTCTGGTTTTTTTTTTTTTTTTTTTTTTTTAGAGACAGTCTCACTTTATGGCCCTCAATAGAGTGCTTTGGCATCATAACTCACAGCAACACCCAACTCCTGGGCTTAGTCGATTCTCTTGCCTCAGCCTCCCGAGTAGCTGGGACTACAGGTGCCCACCACAATACCTGGCTATTTTTTGTTGTTGTTGCAGTTAGGCCAGGGCCAGGTTTGAACCCGCTACCCTTGGTATGTGGGACCGGTGCCCTGCATACTGAGCCACAGGTGCCACCCTGTCTCGTTCTTTATACAGAAAAAGTTTGCAATTCCTGTTTAAGCCCCAGATATTGATGTATTAACATTGGCTTAAGCATAACAGTGAGTCATGTTAATATCATCTTTGTGGGGTTTTTGTCTATTTTTTTTCTGGTATTTGAGTAGTCTGTGATAACTGGCCGTATTACATATGTAATTAGAGTTGATTTTTTTTTTTTTGCAACTCGACTGGGACATAGAGTTGATATTGTTTATGAAAATTTGCCAGGCATGGTGGCTTACGCATGTAATCCTAGCACTCTGGGAGGCCGAGCAGGGTGGATACGTGAGCTCACAGATTCGAGACCAGCCTGAGCCAGAGTGAGAATCCATCTCTAAAAATAGCCAGATGTTGTGGCAGGTCCCTGTAGTCCCAGCTACTCTGCAGACTGAGTTAAGAGAATGGCTTGAGGGTGGTGCCTATGGCTCAGTGGCACTGGCTCCATATACCGAGGGCGGTGGGTTCAAACCTGGCCCCAGCCAAACTGCAACAAAAAAATAGCCGGGCATTGTGGAGCGTGAGGGGGACCTGTAGTCCCAGCTATTTGGGAGACTGAGGCAAGAGAATCACCTAAGCCCAGGAGTTGGAGGTTGCTGTGAGCTGTGTGACACCGCGGCACTCTACTGAGGCAGTAGAATAATACTGTCTCTCCAAAAAAAGAGAGAGAATGGCTTGAGCCCAAGAGTTTGAGGTTGCTGTGAGCTATGACATGATGGCACTCTGGGAAGGGTGACAAAATGACACTGTCTCAAAAAAAAAATGTTTTTTTAAATCAAGTTTGTGGTCAATATTTAAAGGCTCCAAAATGATCCATTTGTGTAATTTAAATTTTTTTTGACCTGAGCATAGTAGATAGAACATTTAACAAAACATTTGGTACTTATTCTCTCTGTCCAAAGGCCCTGAACGTTATAGATTTCATCTGTAGGGGCTTCCACAGTCCATTTCTTGCTCTTACCAATTCTACCCCCGCTGACTCTAGCCCATCCTGTAGAACCAACCAGTTTAAACACCACTGCCATCTGGGAAACCCTGCTTTGACAACTCAGATTTGGCCAGCTTTTCTAGTTTGTACCCATATAATTCCTGCACCAGTGACCCCAGCTTATCTTCTTATCTTCCTCCCTCATGTCCTTCCACTCCCCACCCCTCTTCCCCTACTCCTGGCCACATGGGTCCCCTTGCTATTCTCCCTGCCTAGAATCCTCTTCCTCCAAGTTTTCTTTTTTCTTTTTTTTTTTTTTTGAGATAGAGTCTCATTCTGCTGCCCAGGCTAGAGTGCCATGCATGGCATTAGCATAGGTCATAGAAACCTCAGACATCTGGGTTCAAGTAGTCCTCCTGCCTCAGCTTCCTGAGCAGAGAAGAGTACAGATGCCCACCACAACAGCCAACTAATTTTTCTCTTTTTACTAGAGATAGGGTCTCACTTTTGCTCAGGCTGGTCTTGAACTCAAGTGAGTTTCCCACCTCAGCCTCCTAGAGTGGTAGGATTATAGGCACCAGTCACTGTGCCCAGCCCTCCTCTAAATCTTCTCATAGCTGCCTCCCCCACTGTCCTCTATAACCTGCAACCCACCCCTACAGTCTCTCGTTGCTATTCTTTGTGGTTCATGACTTTGTCTGGTGTAACAGTGGTGGTTATGTGTCAATGTCTTCTTCAGTGGGGTCCACTGGACAGGGAGGCAGGAGCACCAATGTTCTGGTCACTGCTGTGTCCCCAGAATCTAGAACACTCCCTGACTCCTTGCAGGCACCCAGTAAGCATCTGTTAAACAAGTGAAGAGCAGCAAACACTAAGCAGGTCTTTGTGGGTTTTCTCTGCAGATCAGATTCCGAGGAAGAACTGTGGCAGCGGCCAGGGAGGCACAGCCAGAGCTCCCCACCAGCACGATGGCACTCAAGGGACCAGTCCTCTCAGTCTGACTCAGGCGAGGAACAGCAGCGGGGCTCATGGGCTTACCACCAGCGATCTCCAGGCTCTTCAGGGTCCAGCTCTGCATCCCCAGCACGCTCCCAGAGTCCCCGGGCTGCAGCAGCCTCCCTGAGCCAGCAGCAGAGCTTGCAGGAGCGGTTACGGCTGCGTGAGGAGCGGAAGCAACAGGAAGAACTGATGAAGGCCTTTGAGACACCTGAGGAGAAGCGTGCCCGACGGTTGGCCAAGAAGGAGGCCAAGGAGCGGAAGAAGCGGGAGAAGATGGGCTGGGGCGAGGAGTACATGGGCTATACCAATACAGACAACCCCTTTGGGGACAACAACCTGCTGGGTACCTTTATCTGGAACAAGGTGAGTAGCTCACAGTCATCCACACACCCTCTTCTCTCTCTAAGGCCACAGTTCTCAACCTGTGGGTCACGACCCACAGGAACTGTATTAAAGGATTGCAGCATTAGGAAAGTTGAGAACCACTGCTCTAAGGGCTCTGCATTGTGTACTCTTTAGAATTTCTGTTATTTCAAGAGCATAGCCACACACCAGTTTCTGCAGTCAGCCTTTTGGCTGTCACCTGTCTCTTGCAATGTTAAGACTCGTCAGTCTTTGGCAAGAACATCAGCCCAGTCTTAGACATGAATGGAGAACAGGTTCTTTATTTTTTATTTATTTATTTTTGTTCTTCTTCTTCTTCTTTTTTTTTTTTTTTTTTTTTTTGAGACAGATCCTCAAGATG